CCTTACAAATTAAATATTCAATGGTAACAAGCGTTGGTAATATCTAAAAATCATGACCAAAGCGAACAATGACGCAATGACTCGTCGTTTAAAATTCGAATCAATAGCGTTTTATCCCTAAGTTCGTCAGCAAGTATATCAGCAGCCCTCACGAGATCAATTTTCCATGCGATAGGCAACGAACTGTGCCGACACGTCTAACAAAGTAACGCGAAATCTGTCGCGGTCTCGTGCTCGTTTTAATATGCCCTGCATGAGGTCTGGTCGGAACAGGGGCCCCGTACCGCGTGATCCTATCGAATTATCAAATACGAAGCAGCAGGGGTCCGAAACGATCCGTCGCCGATGGTTTCGAGCCTCTTCAGTTTAATATCGATCGGTCCACGCGATCAGTCCGTCCGGCGAAAAAAGCGTGAAACGAGAGAATTCTTTCGAGTGTCCTCCAGATAAGCAATTTATTTCTCTTTCCTGTCACTCACCTCCCCTTTTCTACCAATGATAATTCGATCTTCGTTCCTTTCTTCTTTTTCGTTTCGAACGAAGGGAAGTGAAAACGATGTTGTTTAACGATACCTAAGCGTGTAGGGAATTGGGATTCAAACAGGGTTGAAACGTTGAGCGTTACTACTTGCGATGGATAAGAGTAATTAATTGTATTCTTGCAAATGAACTGTTCAGAATGAAATTGTTTAGAAGATTATTCAATGCTTTATTAATCGGATTTAGGTACTTCTCTCTTTTTTTATATTAAGTTCCATCTTTTTTTTCTTTACACTGAATGTAAGCTTGTAACCCGAAATATCGAGTATTACTACTAGGCCAAGTATTTCTGTTTCTACAAATACTGCAATTTGTGAAATATTTTTTAATAGACGAATAGATAACAATTTTAGATTCTTCCCTCGTGGAAAGGTTCATTTAATCGAATTTTCTTATTTATCAACATTCGGCTGTTGAAATAGTATCTTCTCTTATTTCTTGATTTGAAGTGTTTTCCTTTCTTTACAGTCAAGAACGAACCAACCCGATTTCTTGGGGAGGGTGTGTCGTTCAAGGCGAAGCTGATTGGCATATTGGAAGTATCGGAAGCACGCGGGGACCGGATGTGCCAAGCAGCTTTGGCGGATCTGAAGATGGCGATTCGGGCTGCCGGTGAACACAAACAACGAATCGCCGTTCAGGTCAGCATCGATGGATTACGCTTGCGGGACGAAAAGTCTGGGGTAATGACTTTCAAAGATAAGCACCATAATACCCGAGTTCTCGTGAAATACGAAATATTAAAACGATAAACAACAAAGTTCAAATCTAACTTTGAAGTATCAATTTGTCCAAAGTATTAAGTCTCTCTTCGATCAGTTGTTTTAAATTAAATTTTAAATTGAGTTTCAAAGACGGATGGA